CTTTGTTGAAAGTGGTGCAGAAACGTATTTTACCGAATCTGTCAGATCCATGCTAGCCTGGTAAAAACCAGACCCATGTCCTTCACTTTGCTTCGTACGAGGGCCTGGACTCTCGACTATAGAAAAGTGATTCTTGCCGGAGGCGTGGCCTTTGCTGAAGTTTAAAATGATTGGATCAGTTGGCCGCGTATGTGTGCCAGATCCACTGTGAATGAGGCTAAGCTAAGATGCTAACGGTAAATCCCGTGCACTGTAAACAACCCTGCTGAGAGGAGAAAAGTACCGAGCCAAACGAGACGGCTGTAGATGAGAGCTGCTGCTTTGTCAGATAAATTTAATTTAATTTGGAAGCCTTATCAACACGGACTGGCTTCATTCACTTCCTCCACTGCCATTGCTAAACTAACTAGCAGACACTGCGCAGAAAATTAACGTCATTCAAAACTCCACCTTCTGTTTGCTGATTGGCTAGGTGAAATAAACTACAAGCAGACACTGCACAGAAAATTGACGTTCTGTTCTCGGAACTGTGTAGGAAGGCAAGGGCCAGGCTAGGTCCATGCAGATTCACAGACTAAATTCCTAATATTTCATCTGCAACAGCAAAGTCAGGAGACAAATCAGCAGAGGCGGGTATTAACTAATTACATTTATACATTTACTTGAATATAATGTTGAAAAAAAAACCTTTTAGCAGTAATTTTGCTATACTGTACATTTTATTTGTACTTGAGTAATATTATTCTGAAGTATCGCTTCTCTGGATAATCTATCCACCATAAGTAACCTAACTGAATGAAGAACAAGACAATTTTAATGAAAAAATAATGATACACACAGACAAACCTGCAGTTGATGTTAAAGTGACGCCTCTTGTAGGTACACAATGCTTTGCTGTAAAGGTATTTTCCATCTGCCCAGCCTGTTGTGCCRTTTTTAGGACAAGAAAATGCAGTAAAACTGCGCTATTCATGTGGTGGCCTTCAGGCCAAATTCACACACCAATGAGACCCCGCACCCCTACAAAAAAGGTTTTTTTTGAGTAATTGTGCCCCCCCGAACAATGTAGTTAAATAGCCCTGATCTACTGTAAGCAGACCAGGGCTCAATTTTAATTGAGTAAAAACGATTTTGAATTATTGCTACTCTTACTAGAGTACAACTTTTGGGTWCTCTACTCTTTTCTGCAAATCAGGTAAAACGARGAACTAGGCAGGAAAGAAACTATAACAACATGCTTCAATGCTGCTGAGACTACCAGGAATCTGTAGTTACTGGTGGTAACCATGACATGTGGCTTTCAGTTGGGTTACCAAAGACAGTATAACAGCTTGCGGTGAGGAGGTAAAGTTGGAGAAAGAGTAAAGAAAGAAAAAAAAAACAATGACTTGAACTAAGAAGTTTTGGTGGACTTGAAGAGATCATTTAGGAACAGAAAATAATAGGTAGGGGTGCAGGGTGGATAAAAGAAATAGAGCGTGGAATGAAAAGCACACTGCTTGAGCTTGCCTGCCCTGCAGATGACCCCACCTTATTTGCTTGCAGTTTCTTCAAGCACATTTTATGATCCAAGTATTTCCTCTTTAATAATGTTGCCTTTGAAGTTCAGCAGACTATATTACTTACAACTAGGATTTAAAACCTCTTCTGCTAGAAAACCCCAAACTTTTGCCAGCATTTCCTTTTTTTTCTGCTGTTGTTTGATGTTTGAAACATTTATTTTCACTCCTGATTAGGAGCAAATTAGAGGTTATGGCAGCTCCTAGTGCTGTCCCAGTGTTCTAATGGCATGATAGCCTCGTAGAGCATTTGTATGCATTTGCTCATTTTCATATTTACTAACAAAGAGGCAGCGTGTACTCATAGGTCACGTTGATTAAATGTTTGTAAAATGGCCTTTCACCAGCAGCTCGCTAATGTGCTTTGTGTTTGTAGAACAGCGGCTCAGTTTTATGCTCACAGCGTGTGAGAACAGTCTGGCCTTTCAGAACAAAACCACTCGTTGAGACTATGTCAGCATGTCCAAACCCTGCTCATAAAGTTAGCTGGTTACTCAGCCCGCTCGCTTGATTTCAGCTCTGGCCTTGGTCAGGTTTTGAAGTTTTTGTTTCCAGAAGAGCAATCAGAGGAAATTGCACTGCTCCTTTTCTTTCYTTTTTTTTTTTTGAAAATTATTATGTGACATAATATAAACAGCATTTTTAGCAGAAACTTGAACATGTTGATGGATTTTTTTGTGTTTAAAGAGATACAAGAATTTAGGCAACAAATACTTTTGAGCACAGTTTTGCATTTCATTTATTTCATTTTGCAGAAAGGTCTGGTCTTTCGGATGCCACATTAAAAAAATTCATATGTCAAACAAGAGCATTTGACTTTTCGAGGCTATACAAGGACCTGCTGTGTAATATTTCCTTTGCTGCCAGTAGGGACCAGTCTTTGTGTCTACATGATTGATTTTAATTTTAGAGATGATTAAACATGCCTGTACAGTATGTGGCTCTAAATTGTTTTACGCATGGACAGTTTAATCCTAACATTATTAATTTAATATAATATTTTTATACCACATCATAACATGAATTTAATAAATTTGAGAACATCGTAAAAATGGGACATTTGATTTGATTTACCAAAGCAAATATCCAGGTAATTAACTTTAAATTACCTTGGACAAAGTGTCGAGCCCCAAGCACAACAAACCTACTGTGAATTATTTTCTGTGAGTATTTATTTCTATTTACAAGTGAGCAAAATGGAGTTTTGACAAAAATCTCAAGTTGCATTTTTWAAAAAAAATGTCAGTGTTTTAATGGGTCTTGGTGTCTAGTTTGTTCATGCTTTAAGAAAATATTCAAAAATTATTATTATTTTTTTTACTTTAAACAAAGGTTATGCCAAATAGTAATGTTTTGTGAAAAAAAATGAAATAAATAAATAAAGGTTGCCTAGTAGTGGAAAAGATGCATGCACAACACACAAAGATCGAACTTAGTGAGTCCCTGATGAGTGTGSCAAACTCATTAAATGCTCCAGCCAGACATTAGTGAATATTTTAAAACAGAACACAAGTGAAAAATAGTCAACTGTATTTTACTTTTGGAGTCAGTCTCGTACCCCCCCCCCCCCCCCACCTCCCAGTGTTACATTAGACAATCTTCTTTGAACAAWATGACAAAWATGCTTGATTTTTAATGTTATCCACCTTAGAGCTAAATCTCTATCATATTCAGAGAAATACTGTATTTAGATGCAGGTTATCTCTGTTATCGCCTCCTGCACCTTGAAAATGAATTTTTAATTTGTGTTTTTTTTTTGTGTGTGTGATTTTTTTTCTTTTTTCTCTGAACCCCAATAAACATTTTTACAGGCCTTCAAAAGAGTAAGACCATTCACTTGGAGGTTAGCAACAGGGCAATAGGGAGAGGAGGTCATTGCTAGTCTGTGCTGCTGGCAGAGAAAACGAACAGACAAAGCACATTAATTGTTCATTCACAGGRGAGTGTTAAAGTTCTGCTGTCAGAGAGCCATGAGTCAGATGTTAAACATGTGTAGGTAGTCGGCATGCTTAGTGACCTTGAGTATTTTATACAGAAAGCTATCATTTATTTTGTAAATGAGATCATATTTGGCATTGCAACATTTTGCTGTTCACAATTTTTTGAAATAAACAGGAGCTGCAGTGAACTTGAATCAGGTGGTCAAACTTGATGTCCTGCTGTGTCAGTCATCTCATCCTTTGTACACTGAAAAAAAACCCACTTCCTTCCATAAGTTGATATAGAGCTAAGCATTGTGCCAGATGCACCATGACACGTCCCTTTTATTAGCATCCAATTTGATGAGCTCATTTCCTTGCCGATGCTGTTATCACACGCCAAGCCTGGAGACAGAAAAGCTTCCCAAAAAAAAAAAACAAAACATCCAACCACCCTCTCAACCACAGTATGGGAAGATGTTTGACTGCTCCAATAATTACTTTACTCAAATTGGGGATGTCGGAAATCTATGAATTGTTTTTCTTTGGAAAATATTTACGGTAGACTTGGCAAGGGTTGGAGCTTTAGCTGTTTTCGAAACAGAAATGGGATTATCTGTTTATCTGTGCCTATTGGGACGACCACATAGTCAGCTTTACAAATACAGTAAAATAATACAAGCTCTTCCAGGAGGAGGAATTTTGAACAATAAAAGAACAATGTGTTGTAAAGTTAACATGCAGCGTGACAGGGGCTGAGCAAGAAATGTTTATGGGCCTGATCGGTAAAGTGCCGTTTCAGCAGGATGATGGAGCACAGACCTCATCAACACATTGCTTTAGATCACGGGACACAGATTCTCAGCTTCAGCACTTTTATGATTGCCTCCACTCATATTCGGATGAATACATGGGAATGTGCACAGCCACAAAATGCACATGCACACTCATAAAGACATCTTTATAAATACACTGACTATAACCATCCATAATCACTTTATCAGCCTCGGACTGCTGCAGGAAGCAGCAATTGATTTGTTGTCAGAAYATGTCATTCCTCTCCAGTGCTTTTATTTACCTCATAAATGAATTAAAAGTGGCAATAAATAAGTCTTAAAGTAATCTGGACAAGACCATAATGTCTATATGGAAAACCACAGTGCAAAATGGAAGCACTGACTTTAAATTCTCAAACTGAGTTGTGTTTTAAACAAACTCTTTGTGTTAAAACCTGCTGATGCACAGTTGTCTCACGTTTGTTTGTATTTTGTTTTTATGATTGTTTGTGTATTTTAACGAGAAGAAAAAAATATAACTTACTTCACAAGTTTATACCATTTAGGACACTTTTCTCCAGTGTTACAAATATCAACAACATATCAAAATCAATAAATAAAATAAATAATACTAATAACAATAATCCACATTTGTGAATATCAAAAGTGCTGCATGTCAGAATATGTTTTTATTTCTTTTTTAATTTAAGTTCCTATTATGTATGCATTGTTTTATTACCTTTCAGATATACAGGCAGAATTGTAGGAAATGGTCTGTCTGCGCAGAGGCAAAACCCGGAGCTCAAAGTTCGCAGTATGGACCCACTAATGGCTGAGGTCAAGGAAAGCTTGGAGTGTTTCAACCAGGTAGGATCATTTTTTCATGAGTACAATAGCATGTCTAATTACAGCAGAATACATATGAATACTGTAATTAGTTTTTCTTATTGTTGTATTAACCATGACCTGAGCTAAAGAGCTTTAAGTAAAAACAAACTTTAAACAGTTATGAAAGTGTACACAAATATCACTTCTCCTTAGTCAGTGTCACACATTGTCAGTGGATTGACTGAAATGCTTTGTAATTTTATTTTGAGACCAAAAAACTGTTTTAAAAATAGAGGCAAAAATCAAAGATAAATGAAAARGATATTAGGTGAAAAGGAAAACTGACAAAAAGGTGAATTAATCAGGAAAGGAAAAAAAGAACAAAAAAAGAAAGATGAGAGGCTGGAGCAAAAGGTCAGGCGTGAGTGACAGATAGCCTTAGATGACACAAGCAGCTTCAAAGTGACGCTGTTTGTCATGTAGATGGGGTTTAGGGCTGAAAAGAGCCAAGAAGAAAAGGACCATTTCAGACTTTCCCTAGAGGCCATTTGATGAGACAAACGGACAAGGATTTGGTTCCCCTTTGACTGCCTGCCCTTTTGTTACCCTGTAAATTATGCCCACAGACAGACAGATATTACACCTCCCATCTCTCTTTCCATCACCAGATCTCTGTCTTTCCCCTGATTTTACCTTTTTTCTGCCTATTTGATCACCCATGCTTCCAACACATCAAAAGATCTTTCTCTGCCGTGTTGTCGTTTGTCTTTGGTTCTGTTTCTGTTAGACTTTCTGCTTTGCTCCTTTTGTGCACTCATACCAAACTTTTTATTTTATTTTCTCCCCTCTACCTGAATTCATCCTCCTACTTTTATCTCAGTCTTTCTTATTTTTTTTCATGAATATTATTTCCCCGGCTCGATTGTCTGCATCGTGTATCACTCATATCTCTCAGCCAGACTGTCAACTTGTCTGGCGCTGACAGTTCAAGATCGTTCTCGTTAGACTTCAACATCCTACCGTGCRTAGTGGCTGTCAAGTACCTTGTTGTCATGGAAACTATGCAGAGTTGAGCGGGCGTCCCGTTGACATTTACAGGGTTGAAAAAGCCCACTTTGCATCTAGACCGAGTGACAGAGCTTGGCTGAGTTTCATGGTTGTGCCGTTTATTAGAGAAGGATGAGTAGGATTAATGTAGGATTTAAACGAGGGCAGAAATGTGTCTGAGCACATGAGCTCACACTGCAAGGTGTTTAAGCTGCTGCCTTACAAGCAAAATAAAAGTTTACTGATATTACTGCTCTCTGAAATTAGATGGTGAATTATTTCCATTAAAATGTCAACAACAAAAACAACATTTTTTTTTATTTATCATTCCTGTTAGCAGTGTTGCATAAAGTACGGCAAAGTGATACTTGAGTAAAAGTACAAGTATCTTACCAAAAAAATACTTTGGTAAAAGTTAAAGTCTCCTTTAGGAATATTACTCAGTGTTGTATAAAGTACCACAAAGTGATACTTGAGTAAAAGTACAAGTATCTTACCAAAAAAATACTTTGGTAAAAGTTAAAGTCTCCTTTAGGAATATTACTTAAGTAAAAGTCTTACAGTATCTGATATTTTGTGTACTTGATTATTAAAAGTAAAAGTATTGATTTAAAAAAATGAGCAGCTTGATTTTCTGTAAGAACATTTATTAGGAGGTGACCTCCCTCCAAAAAACTGCAGAAATGACTGTGTGGTATTAAAATAATGTTTAATTTATGTTACATTTTGGTGGGCCAGATTTGGCCCACTTTGGGCTAGTTTCAAAGCCTTAGGCTACATATGTCTGTTATGTCCTGCTGGAGTGTGACATGATTTGTTTGTGTACAAACTATGTAACACAGTATCAAAATTTTATACATTTAAACTTCTCATTCAACCACAATAAAACTCACTCTATCTAGGAAGCACAATTTAAATGGATAGTATTTATTTTTTTTACAATAACAAGCTGGAATGAAAACAAGCAACAATGAAATAAAAGTAACGACTTTCTACTTCTTGGCTTTTTGAAAAGAAATTAAGCAGTATAAAAGTACAGATAACTGTGTGAAAATGTAAGAAGTAGAAGTAAAAAGTAGGCTGAAAAATAATTACTCAASTAAAGTACAGGTACCTAGAAATTCTACTTAAGTGCAGTAAGAAAGTATTTGTACTTAGTTACTTTACAATTCCGCCTGTTAGAAGCAGTTTTAGTGATCAAACCTCTTCAAATTTCAAACTTTCCAACTTGCTTTGTTAGTAAGTAGCTGGCATTTTAAAACATCCAGATTTTTGTATTTTTATTTATTTTTTACCTTAAGTCCTATAACACTTGTCACATTTTTTTTTTGGCTGAAAGTCATTTCTGTCAACAGCTGTGCTCGGAATTGATCTTTCTTTAGTCTTGCCCTTTACATGTTTATGTGTGGCATCAGACATCAAAGCCGAACCTTGAAAAGTGAACAGAAACTGATGTTGATTATTATTACAATTTTTTTAAGATCAGTGGTCTGCTCTGGAGTTGCTAAAATTTTGAATGTATTGTATGTGATAATTTGCTAGTGCTGAGTTATTGTGTTGTCACAGGTGTCTGGAAAACTTTTCAATTTAGTTAAGGTTATTTTTTGTGGTCTAGAGCTGCAACACATTTAAACTCTCTGCAATTTCCGCCATATCCAGTACAACTCCAAGTGAAATTTTGCATACTGTCTTGCATTTTTTAAATTATTTTATTTTATCTTTTTGATCTCCAATTTAATTTATGTAAAAAAACAGAAATAAAACATTTAAAAAATGTTTCACCAATCAGAAATATTCTGAACTGCACACCCCACCCTTAAGGCACAAGGTTATCTCAAAAGCTATGCATTATTAACAGGTTTTCAGGTTTGAATTTTCTCACCCAGAATTATATTGAGCTCCTCTTTCATGTGATTACAATAGAATGGGCGGAGGAGAACTGTGTTCATCTTCTTTTATTCTTGACTAAAATTTAAGTTGCTAGTTAAGCTGAAAAAGAAAATTATATCAGGATCAGTTTACAGCTTTAGCATATTGTGCGTGTGTGTGTGTGTGTGTGTGTGTGTGTGTGTGTGTGTGTGTGTGTGTGTGTGTGTGTGTGTGTGTGTGTGTGTG